ACAGCGGAATGAAATTTTCAACCGATGATCGAAATCTGAGGAACAGTTGAAGCCTTGCCAGCTGCCGAACATCGCGACCACGCTGGCCAAGTAGTTTTATTTCTCTACGGCACCTGCTCTCCAACTTACTACCAGCGCCATTCAGTTTTTCCATCGGGTGCTCTAACTACTCGTTGGACGATCCCCGACAGAAGAAATACTCTCGTACCGATGCGCATTCGACTGGAAAAACTCCTCTTCTCCCCAGGAATTGAAAATCTACCTGCTTCTGTTTCACTGCGATCGAGTTTCGACGCCGGAATCTGTACGATGATCTATACAATTTGCTTTCATTATTCTACTACTGACTACTATTGTTAGTAGTAAATAGTAAACTACTACTAAACAAATATAAACTACTATTTTCCTAAAAAAGAAACGATGGGAAATTTCGTCGCGTGTTAGATGTTTCAAGAAATTTTTGCTTCGAGTACTTGTTACCAACACATGATGGGACGAATGTCACTAACAGAAAATTTTAAATAAAACGATACGTGACACGATATCTTGTAAAAATTAAATACTTTGCCCCACAGTGCAAGTATATCGCGCGCTCAAGTCAAAGTGTTGATTGTTTAATCGATCAACTTTGACAAAGATGGCTCATCACTGGACTATTCAATATCCAGCCTCATACACGGCTGCACCTCAGACTCCAACCACCTCCCCCTGACTGAAACGTCCAATTCCCCCTACAGCCTTTTCCCTCCGGTTTTCGACCGCTTCTTTCTCCAAGGCCAATTCAACGCGCTGTTCAGGCGCAATCCCTCTCGCAACAGGGACGCTGCTGCGCTCCTGCAGACACGAGGGAGCGAGAGCAACGTCGCTCGCCCTCTGCAAGATCGTCTCTAATTGCCCGGTGGCGGAATCGTCGGTTCCGCCATTACCACGGACAAAGAGTGGATCCGTTATCCATTGGTGGCTCCGGCTGGATCGTTGAAATATTGCCAGGTGGCGGATATCAGCCACGGCCTACCGAAATGGCTTCCATTCCTTTCCGGCAGCTGACTCCGGATTAACCGGGCCGCGAGGCTCCCTCCCGGGATAGCTGACTGAGGGGTATTAAAGCCGGCCCCCCCCTCTCCCGATATTGCTTTCTTCAATTTGCAACCGCTCCGAGCTACCGACACGTCTCGCCTCGCTTCCCTCGCGTGTCTAACGTGTACCACTGATCCTCGCCGTGCTCGTGAATTAAACGCACCAGCGTGCTGCTGCCAGACGTGTTTACGAGCCCGATAGAGGTCCTCGCCATCGAGTCCCCAGGTGCGCTGGAACCACGCTGCTTTCAGTTCACCTGAACTGGATTTTACCAGATGGAGGAACGTAATTGAGATCTCGATGACGAGTTTGGTTGATGTTGGGTTGATTTAGGTTAGGATGATTTTGGTTACGTAGACTGTAGAACTTTGACTATGTGAATTTTTGATGCCTTGTAATGCCGTGCAATGTCGGATACGTTAATTTGTTTCTTCCTTTATCTCTAATACTACATTTCCACTTGGAGATTTCTTTCGAACCTTACTAATTGTAAGCTACGACTCCGGTATCTTTCGCTTTGGTTCACAACTTTTTCGATCGCACTGAAAGGGTACCTTACAATTAATCTCCATCGTGAGATTCATTCTGCCCGACGATTCACCTTACGCATTTTCTTGCCAATTTAATAACCTATGTATTTCCATCTTCCCAGGACACTTTTTTTTTTTTCACTCTCCGCTTTCCTCGGAAAACATCCGAGAAAACTCTGGATGCTCGTCGTGCGTCGCAGTTTCCTCGGTTTTTTCCCAGAGGGGAGTAAAAAGGCGATGATCCGTCGCGCGGCTGATTCATAATCGCCGGAAAAACAGCGGGAAGAGTTGCGCTAACAACCGAAGAAAAACGGAACGCGTTCATCCGCGTTCGGGGATCGCCCTCCTCCTTGAAAACGCAACCCTGGTTACACGAGTGCTCGTAAAAAGACTTCGCCCCTGTTGAATCATCGTGGCCGCAGTTTCGCAACAACTCTCGTTACGATCTCGCCCCTGCTACAGCTAAAAGTGGAGACAGTCTGTGCTCGAGCCAGCAGACGTTCACGTTGTTATTACGACCCCGAGGAGGTGAAAATAACCACCGAGCTCTTCCTCCCGTCTGGGCTCGATAATACTGAGTATTTTGACACTCTTCAACAGTCGCACGCAATTAATTAATTATCGAGTTAATTGTCCACGGCAAACGAATCGAAGAGGGAAACAGAACCTCGAAACACGGCTGTTGCGAGCGGGAAACTCCACAAAGAGCGTAAAGAGCGTAAAGAGTATAAAGCGTGTAAAGATTCAAAAGAGATTAAAGAGCTATATAGGAGCTTATCTAAAATATACAAGAGTGTAATAAGTGTATGTATGCATTTTATATGCATATTATAATAAAGGACTTAAATAATACAGATAGATTTTACTTGGATTGTAGATTAGATAGTAAATTCTACATGGTTGCATAGAGTAATTTCTACGTTGTATCCAATAGCGATTTCTTCTTGTTTAAGCGTGATATCAACACTGCGGACGCGTCAAAAACGGTGGATGGTGAACAAAGATTTGCTTTTAAGCCTGACGCGCAGGGGAGTCGCATTAAACATCGTCCCGTCTCTGGACAACTTGTTCGCGCCTGTTGCGACAGCGGCCTAAAATTAGATTTCGCACGGACAATGGACCTCTCACTCTCTCTCTCTCTCTATCTCTCTCTGTGGAACCTGTCCGTCATCGCGGGAACAAGTGACCTGACGAAGAAGCGGCACTGGTTTGAGAAACTATCCGCGATTCTCACGGGCGCAACTACTCGCGTCGGAGAAACTAAAATGCAGGGAATACTAGTTTCTTTCTTTTTTTTTTTTTTTTTTTTGTAAGGTGGAATACCACCTTTCTCGAGTTTAAATTCGGTTTAAAAAAAAGTGATGGCAACAGTCTTTGAAATACATTCTACTTAATCTCGTCAACCTGATTCGAATCTGAAATGTCAGATCTATCAATCCGCAGGATTCAATTAAATCTTCATCCGGTAAAACTTCGCTTCGAAAATAAGAGTGAGAGAGAGAGAGAGAGAGACTTCATTGGGAACAGCGTAAAAATACCATTCGCGCGATATACTGGTCTCGTATCGAGTACAACCTTTGAGATCGATTACGCTTGAAATTCGAGACTGGACGGTGATGGGGACGCGCGGTGATTTTGCGCCTTTAATATCCAGTTTAAATATTCATGAGGGAGGACGAGAGGATGAAAAAGAGAGAGAGAGAGACAGGGAGAGACAGTCGCGTATTTTCGAGAGCCAGAGCAGCGCGACTGTGTCGCGTTTGTTCAGCGCATAACGAACGAAAGGTGTTTTTTAAATTTCATAAGGGCTCCGCCGGCTGAAAAACGGCACGCAATTTCCTCTGAAAAGCGATCCACCGTCCCCTTTTCTCTCTGTTATTCATTGTCAACTTCGAGAGGATGATAATGATTCGCCCCCGCCCCCCCCCCCCGCCCCCTCCCGCAGCAACGAGAAATCGACCCTATATTTCCCGAGATAAATATTCATAATGAAGTAGAATGTTCCGACGGCCACCAGGAAATTTAAATATCCACGGGAAATGTAACAGTTTCCCTCCCCTTTTTCTTTCCTTCGATGTCGCCTGATCAATCGTGTGTTCGTACTACTTGGGATTTCAGCTCGCGCGGAAGATTTGATCGAGTACTTTCCGGGCTTGTTCCGGGCGATTTAGGCTGCTTTTCGCAGTTGCACCAATGATTAGTAAAAATCTCTCCTCGAATAGTCGTAAATTCGTCTTCCCTCGAAGATAATTTTACTGAGAGCACACTTCCTTGAAAATAAAGGAATTCCGAACGTCTGTAAAAATTTCTCTTTACGACTGAATCCAGCATGGTCTCGAAGAATGAAACTTTCTCTTTACAACGAGCTCCTAAAACTTTCACTTTGGAACAAGCCCTTTAGGATACAATTTTTATTGAACTTGGGACATTAGGGTTGAATGGGATGTTAAATTTTCGTCGTCGTTTAACCCTCGTATTCGAAATTCAGTAGAATGATGAAAAAAAATCGTACAGCAAGTTTTAAGAACTTTCCGTAAAGGGGAGACTTCTATCTTTGAAACGATAGTAGATAGTAGATAGTTACGAGAAAAGTTTTTCAAATGTCTCTAGAAACGTTTTCGAGAATAAAAGTTGTTTGTTTCTCCATTTACTACACGATGTAAAATCATCTTTGACAAAAGCGAACTCTAGAGTGTTCAGAGTAGAAACTTTACACTTTAAAACGAGACCAAATGGATTGTATATATGATTTAAATGATCGACAATTAGTTAAGCTTCAGGCGAACTACAATGTCGAAGTTTGAAATTTTTGATATTCGGATTTTTGGCGTGTTAGATTTGTCAGGATCCTGTTTCGCGACGCTGGAGCTTGAAACACAAGAAGACAGGATCGGGAATATAATTTAGAAAGGAGACGAGGAGAAATCTTTATCTCCCGAAAAAGAACCCTCGCCTTCGTCAGACGAAACACTGTCTGACATCAGCCCCTTCGGGGACGAGAAATTTAAACGTGGTCCGCGGAAGTATCTCTTAAAACGTCCACCCGAGGGTTGCAGTGGAATTTTTTCCCTCCCGTCTCGAAGGACAAGGAGTGCCAACATCGTTTTAGTAAATATCTCAGCAGAATCGAAGATATAACGATTCGTAACGATACAGTTCTCGAAACGATTCTCTGTCTGCAGATTATATCCACAATCTATTCATTTGCATTAAAAATTCATAAAATGTGACTATAGATTACAATCACAATTCTATAATACAATACACTTGCACTTTCATTCGTGCATCTATAACGTACTTGATCGCTACTTTTCCATCTCAACGCACACACAGAGAAGTAACAAGAGCGCACGTGCAAGCAGAAAATACGAGTTACAATATTTTGTTATCAAGATTTTTATGCAAACGAAGGGGGAAATCCGCGAGAACGAGAGACGAGAATGTAATTTCTTCGCGTGGGTGGAAAGTGGCACTTTTTTTTTTTTTTTACCTGTCTTCTCGTATCCTTTGCACTGAAAAAGGAAGGAGACAAAGGATGGGTGGTGGTAGGAGAAGGAAGAAAAAACGGCGCTATCCTCGCGGCGAGCGGGGCATTAATCTTTTTGACGTCGCTGATGTAAGTATGAATACCGGCGTATCCATCCTTTGTGCCGAGAGAAATGCATTTTTATGGATTAGTCACTTTGGAGAATGGGTTCCTCGCGCGTGAAGTGGGCCACCAGGAAATAGACCCGTTTCTTACCAGAACGTTCCTCTCCTCTCTCTCCTTTCTAGCGCCATCCGCGATACGATCACGATGGTGTCGATTTTTCACGAAACTGGTTCAATGATCGTAAACACCTGGCCGTGTAACCGTTCTCAAGTGTAACTGCCTGTTCCACTTAGTTTTATAAAGTCTCCCAGTGAAGTTGGCTTTGTCAATTATCAGTCAATTACCACTTGGAACTTCATTTCGTGACAAATCGTTGAAGAAAGTTGATAATTTCTGGTAGGAGAGGTTTGTTGGACGTGGCTGTCTAATGGACGCCTAATCTCCATTAGACAGAATTCCCCTAAAATCTGTTCCGACCACATCTGTCACTCTTCATACCGTGGTACAAAGATTCAGCCAGAAACCATTTCAGTCCTCCAGAGGGAAGAAAAACCACGTCCAGTTTTCACGTCCGCTTCAAGCATCGGGAAGCATCGATGATGACACGGACGAATTTCCGCCTTGGCCTCCGACAGCCAACAACGAAGGGAAGTCGAGCCAAAGTCACGAACGCGAGAGAAAAGATGGATAGATGGACAGGCGGTGAATCGAGGCCGTAATAAGGTTGAACAGCCCATAAATCACAATTAAATCTTGAAAGGATCGAGTTGGTGGTTTGTCGAGTAATCTGTCAGGACGGTGTAGCTGATACAACGATCGGGTAATTGCGGCCAGCGTACGCACACGTAGAGTGGCTCGATCGATCCGCACTCGTTGTGAGCCTAATGACCACGCAAACGACGCGTAACGTGTGCTCCCAGCCCGCTGCTGAATTAATAATCGCGTTATTTGCGTTTACGCGGCGACAGAAGTACCGTCCGTGCCAATGGCTGGCCTCGCCACTCTGCTTCTATACGCGAAAGTCGGGTACTTCACTAACAGAAACCTAGGTACTTAACTTTCAGAGATTAGGCACTTGCCCGGCGAGCTTCGTGAATGTTGTCGAAACCTTTAAAATCAGGCGTGTCTGTCATCGGTTGCAACGATTCGAACAGAGCTTTGAGACAATATATAGAGGGTGTTTTGTAACTTGTGGGACCCACTTCGGCAGTTGATTGTACGCCTAAATTTAATGAAAAAAAGTCATATAAATATATGTCCTATCTGTCTTCGTTTATGAGATATCATGAATTTTATAAACAGAGCAAACTCTAGTAAGCTAG